GATCTATTACTCACACAGGTTAAACTACATGCAAACTAATTAGATTTCATAATGCAGTCAATAATGGTTTTATATCACCAGCAACATTCATATCCACCTCAAGTTGGCATACACTTTAGGTTGTTTGAGAATTGCCTTAAGTGTTTGCCTGGGCAGGGGAAGCAAGAGGCCAGAGTCTGCAACTTCCAGCAGACATTCTGAGGAGTCATGATGGTCCCTTTCCTCCTCTCACCCTTTCTTGACAGCTCTTTTCCCCTCTCCTGGCAGTCTGCATTATTTTAATAAGAATATGCTTTTGAAAATTGCTGCCCTCAGGTTGGATTTGCCTGGAGTTCCAAATCCTGCAGAGTAAGCAGGCAAACTTTTCCCCTTCAGGGGCAATGCCTAGGCTACTCCCACTAGTTCCTGTGCCCAGGGGCATCTCCTGGGAGCCCAGCCAGAGTGCTAGAGAAAACCAGGGGCTTGAGGATATTCTGCTGGGGCCCAGCAGGCCCATAGGGCCTGGGCTCAGGGAGGGAGCAGGAGAATGCATCCCAGTCTGGATACTGTAGTAGGAGACATAGGCCTGAGAGGCTTCCCTATGGCTTATTTTGGGAGTCTGTGTCTGCAGCATCCTTCCTGCAGCCCCAGCCTTTCTCTACTCTGCCCAGGACAGGCCTGGTGGTGCCCAGCAGCTATACAAAGTTCCTACTTCAAGTTGCACTGAACAGTTTGGCCTTTCAAGGGGAGAGGCTGGGCTTGCCCTGGCGACTCCCAAGTTCTCTGGGCTAGGAGAGCCCTAACCCTGGGCTAGGAGTCCTTGGGCATGAGAGGACAGGGGTTCTTCCTACCTGAGGTGAACAGGACTATGGCCTTGAGGCAGCTGTACTCGGCCGAATCGACGTGCAGCGCCTTGAGCTTCTCCACTTGCTCTTGGAAGATCCGTATGTGGTCCATAAAGGCGACCACCCGGTCGGCGGACATGGGCGAAGCGTGCAGGCCTGCTGCGGCCAGAAGCGGGGCGACGTGGAGGGGCATGGAGCACTGCGCAGCATTCAGCACAAACAGCTCGCTCCAGGTGAGACGAAGCAGGGCCACCTGGTCCGTGATCTGCAGGTCAGGGAAGAAGGGGATGTTCCGGGCCCACTCGACGGCGCTGAAGAGCATCCGCGCGGCCAGTTCGCAAATGTTCTCGATGCCCATGATGTTGTTGGGCTGCATGCACTGGCTGCCGAAGCGCGACGTGGGATAGGGCTCGGCGCGCAGCAGCAGGGAAATATATCCGGACAGGTACGAGTGGCAGTTGAGGGGGTCCCCGTTGGTCAGCGCGAACTGCCCATGGGTCGGCTGTGTGGGCGGCATCCTGCCCCTCTGCACCGCTGCGGGGAGGAAAGGAGACACTTCGCAGTTAATGACCAGCCTTGGTCCCCAGGTCCCCCAGCAGGGTCTGCCCCAGCCCGACCCCCATCTAGCCCAGACCCCGAGCAGCGCAAGAACCAGGCAGGCCTGCCACAGACCTGGGAGCCGCAGGGCTCCCGGCACCACTCCTCTCAAATCACCACCCAGGCAAGCTCTGACGGCCAGAGGGGCACACTTGCCTCCGAGGCCCGCTCGGGGCTGGTCCGCCGAGGACCCAGAATTAGCCACTTTGCCTCGGGGTCCACGGCGCTGTGGGCGGGATGTAGCATTCTGAGGGCATCTTTCTTCTTTACAGCTAAACAGCTGATATTTCTTATTGATTGGAGGAGAGAGAGCGGGAGGGGCGAGTCTGGGGGGAGGGTGAGACGCTTTTGCAAAAGACACAAGTGTTCACCCCAGACGGCCTGTGGCCACCCCTGAACGACTCTTCCCCAAACCCCGCAGCCCCAGCCCCAGCCCCAGCCCGGCGGGGAACCCCTGGTGAGAGACAAGCAGAAAGCCGAGGTCTGGCGTCAGTCTAATCAGTGTGCTCGAAGAAAGAGACCGAGGGAGAGGGCGGAGAGAGACAGGCCGGCCAAGGCGAGAGGAAGCCGGGAAGAGGCAGGGAGCAGGCGGCCGGCACCAGCGGAGCCCAGGCATGGCCTATGAGGCCCGGGGAAAGCCGGCGAAGCTCCGGCTCAGGCTGTTATCTGACTCCGGACCGGGAGAGTCGCTCTCGCAGAAACACAAAGAAGCCCCGGCGTTGGCTCGCCCCAAGCCGGAGCCCGCGCCCCGCGCCGAGCGCGCCATTGGCAGAACACGGCTCGCGGCGCTCGGCGAATTTTATATCACAAAGACCCAACTCGCGCAGAGCGAAAGCAGCCTCCGAGGGCCCCTCGCCCACCCTTTCCTACTTCCTATTGCGCTCTCCTCGATTCAAAAGTGAAAGGAAAAAAGAAAACAGAGGTATTTTTTTTTTTTAGCAGAATGTTAATCCACGGAGGGTCACATGAGCGCTGCCCGGGCGGCAGCGTTAATACGGCGAAGTGCATAAAATTGCCATTTGTAATTTGAACCTCCTGTACAAAAGTACAATCTCAGGTTTTTTTTTTTTGAGAAGGTGGGGGCTGGGGAGAGGGGTGGAGAGGAGGGACATATGTTGAACATGCAGGAAAAACAAGGAGAGAGAGAGAAGTAAACCAGGCTTTAAAACAACAACAACAAATACCCCATCCCTTGCAAACAGGCGGACTCCAATGAACTCGCAATCAATGCAAAGAAAATGAAAACAGCCCAAAGAAAGAATAGAGGAGGAAATCAGTCGGCCAAAGCATGCGGATTTAGGGGTCTGGGTTCCAGTGCAGAACTCGCTTCTAGTATAAAAACCCTTTCCGCTGCAATACGAAGAGAAGAGCTTGGGGCTTCTGTGTCCTTACCCAGAGCAGGCTAGCCAAACGCACCCAGGGACCCGGGACCCCGGGCGAGGGGAGGAGAAATGAGAGGCCGATACCTTCCCGTCTCATGCCCACTTTGAGGCACTTTTTGAGGCGGCAGTACTGGCACTGGTTGCGGTGGTGCTGGTCGATGGGACAGTTCCGGTTGGCGCGGCACGTGTAGCTCAGGTTCCTCCGCACACTGCGCTTGAAGAAGCTCTTGCAGCCCTCGCACGTGAACTGGCCGTAGTGCTTGCCGCTCGACTTGTCCCCGCACACCACGCACTCGATGTGTTGCTGTTGCTGCTGCTTGTCGCTGCCTGGGCCACCAGGGCCGCCCTGGCCACCGGCCGCCGTCTGGGCCGGCGTGCTGGCCGGGCCCCCTTGGCCGGGCGTCTGCGGCGTGTGCGGGGCGCCGGGCGGCGGGCCGGGCACAGGCGGCGCCTGCGAGGCCTGGCTGCCCTGCGAGCCGGGCACCTCGTCCTGGGGGTCGCGCCACGTGCTGACTACCATTGCCATATCTATGGGGGCTGCGTCCGGACTTCCTGCTCCCCTGGCTGCGGGCGGCGGCGGGGCGGCGGCGGCTCCCGGGTCTCGGGCTCCGGCGCGCCGCCTTTTGTGTGTGCGAGGGTGCGAGAGGGCGCGGGAGGGCGCACCGGGTGGCTCGGGGGCTGGTTGGTTGAGGTTGGTTAGTTTTTCCTTTTTTGTTTTTGCTTTTGCAAAGTTTTGTCGATTGCTTGTCTGGCCCGGTGTGTTTGTTTTGTTTGTTTTCCTCGGCTCAGCTTTGTTGGTTTCGGGGGGCTTTCCGCCGGGAGGGGAGGGGAAGGGGACAGGAGAGCGAGTGGGAGCAGAACGTGGAGAGAGAGGGAGGGGAGGGAGAGCTGCAAGTCGATTGTCTGGCTTCAAGACAGAAGTAGGAGGCAAAAAAAAATCTCTCCAAAGATCTCGCTCGCTCTCACTCTCTCCCTCCCTCTCTCGTTCACTCTCTCGCTCTCAGAGCTGGTGTGCAGCCGAGGAGTTGGCGGAGGAGGAGGAGGAAGAGGAGGAGGAGGAGGAAGAGGAGGAGGAGGAGGAGAGGCGACTGTCCGGGGGCCAAGTCCAGGGCAGCCCACAGTCAGCCATTCAGGAAAGCCATCGAAATCAGGAGGACTAGGAGATCGGAGGCGCCGGGCACGGGTGCGCCCAGGGAGCCAGGCAGGCCGGGGCGGAGGCCGGCGGCCCGCGGAGTGGCCGGAGCGCTGCCCGGATCCGGGGGAATCAGCATGAAAGTGGTCCGCGTCGGGCGCTGCGCGGCGTTGTCCTGGCGCTGGGCCGCCGCCGCCGCCTGCCCCGGGCGCCCGGCGCGCGCCTCGCTCGCTCCGGCCGCTGCTGCCCGCAGTCGCCGGTGTGAGGCCGCTCGCCGCTCCCTGCGGGCCGCCTGGGCCGCCGCCGCCGCCGGAGCCGCCGCCGAAGCCGCCCGGGCGGGCCCGAGCCGCCGCGTCTAGCGCCGCCGCCGCCGCTCAAGTCGCTGCTGCCGCTGCTGCCGCCGCCGGAGCCGCCGCTGCTGCTGCTGCCGCCGCCGCCTCACACACATAGGGAAAGAGTCAACTCGCCGGCGGCGGGGGAGAAATGATAAAAGAGAGAGAGGAGGGCAGATCACCACCTAGAAGCACATCCTTCGTGCGCAGAGGGGGGAGAAAAAGACGGAAAGAAAGAATGAAAGAGGGGAAAAAAGGCAGCACGGCACCCGGAGAAAGGAGGCAACTCGGGGAGAGGAGGAGGAGGAGAAGAAAACACACACGCGCGCACGCACACACACACCGCGGAGAGAAAAGAACAGAGAATCAAAGTGATCAAATATGCTAAAAAGGGGGGCGCGGGAGGGAATGCGATTTATAGGCGCCGGGGCTGGCAGAAGTGGCTTCTCCGCGATCAGCTCACTGAGCTCTCTATATAGTGAACTTTGACACGACTGCTGCAACTTAGCGCACGTTGCCATGGCGACGGCGCGCCTTATAAGGCAGCAGCCGGGGTTGGCCTGGCCAGGCGCGCGCGCGCCGCCCCCTCGCCGTCATTGGCCGGAGCGCGGCGGCCCCGCCATGGCGGCCGCGGGCGCAGCCCGGTCCTAGCGCGAGCGGTGTCGCTGCCGCGGCGCGGGGCGAGCGGGGGACGGGGAGGGGGGGCACCGAGTGGCCGCGCCGCCGCCGCCGCCGAGCGGGGGATGGGCCGTGCCGGCCCCGGGAGCGCAGCCCCCGCTTTCCCCACACCCTGCACCCGAGATTTCTGCCCCGGCGGGGAGACCAACGCGGCGCGCACACACAGCGTCTCTTAAAGGCTCCGCGAGAGGCTTTGGATGGGATCGAGGACTTCGCCTGTCGCAACTTGGCGATGCCACGAAATCCGCCGCTCGCGCACCACCCGGGACTCCCGGCGCATCTTGCTGCCCACAATGCCAAAGAAAGAGAAAAGTTCCCTGGTTTCTTTGCAGAGGGTAGGGGGTGGGAAGGTGCCACGAACTGAGCTTGCAAGCATTTCCAAAAGAAAGATTTGGCCAAACCCGGGAGATGGTAAACCCTTCTCTTAATCAACTCTGATCACTTGCTCGGTTTGATGGCTCACTTTCTTGTTTCTTTTTTAGAGGAAAAAAGTCGTTTAGCGTTTGTCTTTTCCTTGTAGGGTTAACATTTCACAGGTATGTGGCCTGACATTTTAATTGCTCAAATAAAGCATCTCGGATGCTGAGAAGCAGAAGTAGACTTCATCTCATTGTCATGACGCAATTAAAATCAATTTTCCTCAACTTTATCCTCTCTCTTTGGTTTTAGCTAACTCTCAAGCCAACATCCTGCCACACACCCAGTCATGGTGAGAGGGAAAAGACTTCTGCCTGCTGATGGACAGGCGGAGGCAGCCGCCAAGCCTCCCCTGTGCACACCCTCTGTACACACATGTAAGCGCACATGTATCAGATGCACATTTGTCAATGTACACAGACAAAGACTTCAGCGACTATGCTTCTAGGTCATAGAACAGTTGAGTACAGACCTCATTGTTCTTCAAGTTCCTTTTAAGCATTCATATAGTCATTAAAACACACCCAGAGATTCTGCCCCAAATTGGAAATAATACCAGTACAAGTCACAAGAACTACACACAAGCCATATTCTATCTCAAGAGAGTCACTGCAAAAAGAACAACTTCATAGCCTATGTCATTCTGCTCAATGTGCTAAAATCATTGATACACTTGGGTCTTTGAATTCCAGGATGTTTGGTTTTAAACATCAAACAGGTAGAATTGCCTGCAGAGCACACTATATTCCAATGCAGTAAACTTGCTATTTGATTATGACCAGTTAGTGGACTATTATTATTCCACATTTATACAAGAAAATTATGTCTCCCTTATACACACTTAGCACCAAGAAAAACTGTAAGCCGGCAAGCCAACCAGGTTTATGAACAATTAAAACATTGCACAGAAAAGATGCTGAGCTCCAGGGAAAAAAATGAACAAGTATAAAGAGTAAATTGACAACTACAGAAAAGCATCCTTGGTAGCTGAGAAATTGAAAAGATAGAGGTATTTTTAAAAATAAACTATACATATAATTGACATGTGTAGATTGCAGTTTTGCATTTAATTCTTTTTACACACATTGGCAGAATAAGAAGGAGGCACGAAGTGCAGATATGGGCACATAGGGGCTGGTTTTTAGGAAAAGAAAAATCCTCTTTAAGCTTCACCCCCGAAACAACCTAAGCCCTCACTCTTTCTCCGCGGAAATCATATTTCACTAAAGCTGCAGGTGCTGAGATTTTTTGAAAGTTGTAAAAAAACTCACACACACACACACAAAAAAACAATCCTATAGTGGACACTGAACTATCATAAACCTAGTGTGTAATAAAATTGCCACAGAGTGAAGCCAAACTGAGAATTTCAGGTTGATAAAAGACACAATATAACTTTCTCCTGAAGAGGACAAGAAGGAGGGAAAAGAAATCATTTCAAAGGGGAAGGTTTTGAGTTTTGTTTGTTTGTTTGTTTCCTTTCAACCTCTTTGATTCAGGAATTGCCTAATGCTACAAATGTCAGTGGATTAGGGCAAGTTCAGCAGAGATGTGGTAAGGCTGGGGTTGAGATAGGAAATCTAATGGACATTCCCATCTCAATTTAGTAGAAGATGAAAATAATTGATTATAGGGAAATCATAATCTTGCCTCTTGAGTGGGGAGACTTCCATAGCAAGATTACCTTTTATAAACATTCGAAGTGGCAATTTTGAGAAGGAAGAGCTTCCCCACTCCATGTAGAGGTTTTGAGAATTTAAAGTATGCTCTGATCGCTTAGATTGAAAATGAAGAATTTCCCAACCACCTCTTACAGAATTGGAGCCTGCTAGGAAACCGATCACAGGGCTGCCATGAAATTAGAGGTGTTTCACTCTGTATTTTAGGACTCATTCAGTTATGAAAATGCTGTTACAAAAGGGGAAAAAAATCACTGTGTAAATTGTAGTTAAGTTTACTGCATAGAAAAAGAGATAGGATTAAAGACTGAGAAGAAAAAAAATATTTTTAAATGTCTTCTTCAGAGATGCTCATTTGCTGTGACTCTAAGATTAAAAAGCTCTCAGACTAAAAGATAAATATCAATATATTGTTATTGTTAAAAAAAAACCAGCTCAGTCTTTTATTGCAGATGTAAATTTATTTTAATGAGGGGAATGGTAAGTTTTAATTTGGCTAGAGAAAGTTGGACAAACATTTATCCTAATCTGGAAAAAATAAAAAAAGAAAGAAACTAAAAACTAAACACCCAGGAATATAATTTTCTTGTAGAAAGTGTCCTGATGGGCTGTAATTCTTTACAGATTAAATCACAATATGAATACAGACCCCAGCAAATGCCGAGTTTAACTCTGAACTCAGTGGAAACCAGTTCCATCCTCCAGGATTCATTGAATTCCTCCTATCCCTCAATCTAGTCCGTGTGTGTTTTTCTCTTCCACCACACTGGAGCTCCATGAATAGGGAAAGGGGCTTCCATTGTGTCCCTCTGAACTTCCAAGTCAATGCAATTTTTAACCACTGGCTTGTGGTACTTTGAAAATCACCAGGGGCTGTCAGAGTTGGGTCCTCTGAAAAATTTACAGTGCTAAATCAGAGCATATGCTGGGAGGGAAAAAATTGCTTAAGATTGGAGCAAGTACAGTATCTGTCTGCCCCCTAGTGTAAGAGTCCTCGCTGCCTAAAATTCAACTTTAAAAGAAAAGGAGCTCTTAAAGGGAAACGACTTTGGGCTCACGTAGGCATAGGAGAATGAAACTTCTGTACATTTTAATCTGAATAATTCTTCAGGATTTAAAATTAATTGGCTCTGGCTTGGTTGGACCGTACTCGGATCTCGCCACCTCTGCGTTTCCCGAGTCACTGGCGAGGAGGTGATTTTTTTTTTTTTTTGAACTGGGTTTATGTGCGTCCCCCTCACCCCCTCCTCTCTTTTTCTTTCTCTCTGTCTCTGTCGTCTCTCTCGCTGGCTTTTTAAAAATGAGGAACCGTTCCTTGAACGTTCTGGACAGAGCACAGAATTGCTTCTTAAGTCAGCCCGGCGCGGTTGCAATAGACAGCAAAAAGGTAAACGTTTGCCTGAAACCCGCACGCCAGCTCCACCACCCCGCCCGATGGTGAGTACCCTTCTCGTTGCGTTTCTCCTCCTAGCTTAACCGAGCGCTCGCCTACCCGAACCGCGGCCGAGGGCGCTGGGCTAGGCTTTTCTCCCTCCCTGCCTGCCTGGCTGTCAGTTGCACAAGGTTGCAAAATGAAGCGCAGAGGCAAATCGAACAGTAAATTCTGGTACTTAGTGAGAGCCTTAGCAGCTCCTTTGCTAGAAAACCGAGTCGTCTGCTGCTTGGAAAACCACGCTTATAGGACTGATTTTTAGTTTGCTCTATGGAAGGCAATGAGTTTGAGGAGACAGGACGAAGGGATGGGAGGCAGCGCAGTCTTAACGCTTCGGTTTAATCATATTTTGGCAGATTTGCAATTGTATTTTCCCCCTCTCCCCCTCCACCTCTCCTACCACACACATCTAATAAAATATGGCAATGCATTGAATTGACTTTGTCCCCCCTTCCCCGAACCCCTTAAACCACAGTCCTAGGCATTTCATACACATTAGCAAACCGATTTTTTGAAAAGCCCCAAGTCATCCCCCAACCCCACACAGCACAAGGAGAAAAGTGAGAAAGGAGAGAGAGAGAGAGAAAAAAAATACTGTAAGTAAACATACCAAAACCATATTTGCCTTGTTCAAGGTCCCAAACCGCTTGCATCTTCCTCCTAAACTGGAATAACTCTCCTTTAGTTTGGCGGGTGAAATAAACGCTTTGTTGGCCCCCTGAAAAGATGTGTCTTTGATAATTAAAGAGAATCTCTTCCTCGGTGTTTATCTAAGCGATTGTGCAAACTGATAAAAAGTAGGCACTAGCCTGCAGGGAAAAAGAGGAAAGGTGAGGGGAGAGATCTTCCACCTCAGGGAAGTGCTTCCCCATGTATTAGGCGCTCTCAGCCTTGGAAAACCCTGCACACTAACTTTAGAGAGACAAGGTTTCAGGGAGCTTTGTACATAGCTGCTGAGGAATGCAAGCCTCGCCTTTAAGAAAAAAAACCTCAAACCGTAGGTAGGAGATGTCTGGAGTGATCCTTGTCTCTCATCTCATTCCTTAGAAGGAAGAGTGCGTTGTTACACCTTGTTTGGGGCTGGAAAGACGAGACTTTAAAAACACCCGTCCAATTGAAAAAAATCTCCCAACTTAATGAGTTTAGTCGTAGGCTGGAGCAAACGGCTCAGCCTCAGCAGAAAACCGCCAACAACCATAGGCGATATTGCAGAGCAAGACGACCCAAGGCACAGCCAAATTCCACTGTTTGGGGTCGAGAGGGATGGAGGCTAATCCTAAAGCAAGTTGGAAAAAAACCGAGGTGGGAGAGGAGGGGGAAAAAACAGCAGCCTCGCAGACAGGCAGACAGGCTCCCCTCACCCTGGATCAAAGATAGAACTTGAAACAGGAGGGCAACATTTTTCCTAGGAATCCGTTGGAATCCTCATTTTCTACTTTTAACTCAAGTCTCCCCAAGTGATTTTTTTCCCCCTCTCCCCTGTGGATTTGTGACTCCCCCCCCTTTCCGGTCCCCATTCTAGAACTTTCCTGAAGAGGAAATCAATTTCTTTTGGGGGGAGGGGTTCCCCATTTCATGCCTTCAGATAATGAATGCTTAATTCACCCCCTCCCTTTGTCCACTCCCCAAAACGAATAAAGGAAGCAGGAAAACGGTCACTAGTGAAAATTGAGAATAAACTATGCTGCCTCTCACAGTTTAATACAGTTTTAACTAATGGATTTTTTTGTTTTGTTTTGTTTTAAGAGAAGAATAATGGGGAAACACGGATCTTTTATTTTAGGAAACTGTTATGGTAAGATGTATGTCAGACTTGACAAATGGAACTAACGCTCTTCGGCTGCTTCTTGTCCTTGTCTTAAACAGGAATTAAGTTAAACACAGTGCTGAATGTTAATTACATGTTTACTGGCTAATGAAAATTACAAATGGTTTTGCCACCTCAAACAATGATGAAAACTCTGAAGACACTGTAATTATATACTTTGAGCAAAATAACTCAGAATATTGATCATAAGAAGTGTAAATCTTTTTTTAACTATTCATTAATACCATAAGTATGGGCTACAGAAGTTTTTCCTTGCGGTTTGTCTCATCAGTTATACTGAGTGGATGGATGGTGAGGCTCCTCTGGGGAGGTGGTGAACTCATTCTCTTAGTAGAAGGAGGTCACTTGTGTAACTCAGGGGTGCCCCCTCCCTTTTGCCCCCGCCCCCTGAAACCCCAGCAGAAGGTTGAGGGATAGTTGAACTGGAAGGCCCGGCCCAGGGCAGGTGAAGGTGATCACAGCGGGGCCTCTTCCCTCCCCTCCCCTGTCCTTCTCTCTCCTCCTCTCCCTCCTCCCTTTCCTGCCAGGTCTGATCGATGGCCGCCTTCCTCAGCCTGGGTGCCTGTGGGATAACCTGGCATTTGGGGTTCCTGGTGGAGGACCAGTTAGATCAGGAAACTCACCCGTACCCCAGCCATGCAGCCCAGACAACTTAAATTCCCTCCTCCAGAGAGGACCAGGGCAATTCATTGCAAAAGATGAAAAAGAAGAAGAAAAAAAAGTCGGGGATGGAGATGGTTATTGGGTAAGGTGGCTCAGGCACCACCTGAACCAGCACTGGTTTCCCTGGGTTTGGGAGGAGAGAAAATTTTTGTTATGGTTTTCTTTTAACTTTGGCCAGAGTTGTAGTACCGGCAGCCACTCCGATCTCAGGGGTCAAAGGTGAGGGCTGTACTAACCCTAAAAGGCTGGCCTGGCCAGAAGGCCAAGCAGGCAGGGTAGCATGGATTTGTCAGCCACACCACCTGGCACTTCCGAGGGGGTTCCTGTGAAACCTGCACTCGAGGGTCACAGCACTGAGTGCGGGTTTTAAGTGGAATATTGAAGATTTTCAAAAAGTGCCCTAGGCTTGTAGGACTGGAGTCCTTTTTCCCTGAGAATTCCCAAGGCGCTGGTCTTTGTCTTAGAAGGAATGGAGTTTTTGAATGGTGTGAAAGGGACAGAGAGGGTCGCTTCAAATCGATTTTACTTGTCCTTTCTGTCTTTTCGGATCAACGCCCTTCAATGGGCACAGAGGTGCTCTTTCAACCAAAAACTTGTGCTACATTTTCTGCCTGTATTGGTGCTAAATACAATAAGCACTGGGCAGATTTTTTTCTTTGCTCTCCAAAGCAAGAAAGCACCCTAATTAAATTGTTTTATATGGACAGTCAAGACTGACCAATTAAGTATGCATTAGTATAAAGATATAGTCTGCAGATAAGGCGGTTTAGAAAATCATGTGTAGGACAAAGGAGAGGGCGCTAGCGTTTGGGAGGGGTGCGTGGACCCAGCAAGGTCACGCACCTTCCTCCTTGGGCCCCAGGGGAAATGCAAAGGCCGTGGCCCCAGGTGAGAGGGGAGCAGGCTGGCTAACAGGTGGGTGGCAGTGTTGGAGCCTTTCAGGTCTGTGTCCGGGATCAAGAGTGGTGGAGCCAGAGGGGTTGGTATCACTCACATCCTACTGGGGCAAAGTAGCAGTCCAAGGTGGCAGGTCCCATAGGATGCGGCGAGACCCGGCGGTGCCCGACTCTAGGTCAGGCCCACTGCCTTGTGTCTCAGGTCCAGGATGCGGCCCTACAACAATGAGATAGTGTGCGTCCCGCGGAGGCCAGGAGGGCCAGCGGTCATCGACACTGCCACCGCTGTGGCCGCAGCCCTCTCGCAGCCTAGATCAGGGCAGGAGGCCCCCACCCAACATCTCCAAGCTAAGCGTTTTCGCTTCTAAGGAAAGGGGAGCTTCTCTACGAGGAAAGTAAAAAGTTTCCACCCGACGCCATCCGGCCGGATGGGCGTCGAGGACCAGTCACTGGAGTAGGGGAAAGGCCGAGAGGTCGAGGAAAGGGAGAGCAGCTCGCCGTCCAGCAAATGCGCCTCTGGGCTTCTGCACCCCCTCTCCGCCCTCGGAGGTGTGGGCGGGCGGACGGCTCCTCTCCCCGAAGGCGGCGACCCCCGGAGCAGGGGCCGGGGCCTCCCCGCGTCGCAGCGCAGGGCTGTGATAGGTGGTCCCGGGGGCCGAGGGGACGCGAGAGCGCCGCGCGCTGCCGCTGGAAGGGCTCCCGGGGCGCACAGGGCGCCCCAGGTTGGGGGGAGGGATGAGTGGGGGCGAGAATTAGAGCCTGGGGAAGTGGCTGAATGTCAGAAGTAAAAAGGTTGAAAAGCCAATTTTCCAGGCGCGCTTTCGCCCCCCCTTTGCTGGTTGCAGAGGCCGTAAATCAGCGGCCGGCGGCCAGGGCGGGAGGAGCCCCCTCGGCGGGCTCGGCGCGGCCCCGCCCGGACCGTGCGCACCTCCCGGTGGGCCCCGAATCGATCCGAAGCCTAGCTGAGGATGTCACCGCACTAAATATTTACTGATCACACACAAATAGCCGAGGCTCGAACGATTTTCCTCTGTGAGGAGAGCGCGGAGAGAAGGGTAAATCATTTTATTAGTGTGGATAAAGCCCAGAGCACACTCCGGGCTGGAGTGTTTTAAGATGTGTCTTCAACAGGATGAAAAGAGTTAGGGAAATCGATACTGAGTGATTAGAAGCCCCCGGGGTGACGAAGGGGGACGGGGCTTTCAGGGATTTGGCGAGGCCGAGAGGGGGGAGCCAGCCTCGAGGGGGGCGGCCCGACCACCGCCGGGGAGCTCCCGGCGCAGGCCTCTGTCCCTCCCTCCTCGACGGGAGACGCGAGGGCGCAGCCAGAGGCAGGGAGCAGCCGCGGCCGGCTTCCTGGTCCCGTGGCCGGGCG